CCTGAACCTATAGTTTTAGTTACATTCTGAATTAATGACCTGCCCCAAATATGTCCCAAAGGCGGCTTAGCTACGGGTTTGATATGGGAATGAAATGTATTTCCAGGAAATGTATTCATATTCCGTGAACACTGGCTATATGCACTGCCAATCACCATGGACTTAATAATCAATTACACCTATTTGAAATCGATGACCTGCCCCAAATATGCTCCACAGGCTGTCAAGCCAGGGCCGTAGCCTGAGCAAACTGCCAGGGGGGGCAGTAAGCGGACACGAGGGGGCGAAGTCACCAAGGGGGGAGGGTGTTGGAGGGGGTGTCCCCCTCCCACGGTTTGGAAAATTTTTAAAAACTGTATGTATAATACTGCATTCTGGTGCATTTTAACTGTTATTTATTGCTCAATCAGAAGTCAGAAATTGCGATTATTTTTTTGCACCTCAAATCCCAGGGGGGGCAGCTGCCCCCCCTGCCCCCCCGGAGGCTACGGCCCTGCAAGCTACGGGTCTGCTATGGGCGGCAAATGTGATAAGAACATATATCATATTTTAACGTTAGTTGAAAATATACCAGAACATTGTCACGGCACGACACTGTTCAAAGGACCAATTTCGGGGTCAATGTGCCAATCCCGTTCGAGAGAATTAACGAAAGTATGTGCCATTAACATAAATTCAGTGCAATCCATAGGCATGAGGCTGTATTTCACACCATGCCAGTTTTCCTGATCAATTCTGACTTAGTTTCGGGGTCAATGTGCCAACCGATCGCCATCGTCCATCATTCAAAAAAGAAGATTAATTGAAGAAAAACCGAGCGTGCGGCTTCATTCCCGCGTCTTACTGATATTCATATCGATTTCACAATCGTTTTGAAGAGTGGTGAATGAAGCAACAGAAAGCGAAGCCCGTGAGAGTAGTGAATAAAACTACAGAAAGAGAAGCGCGTGAGAGTGGTGAATAAAAAACAACAGAAAGGGGAGTTTTGCTCCAGAAGTGTTTAATTTTATGTAATAAAATATATGCACTTTATATAATAGAAAAAGGAAAGGTGGTGCTTTGACCGATTTAAGTGGATGTTACCTATTGAAGTTCCAAAATGGTGCCTTTTTCTAAAGCCACTTGATTTTTTCTGAAATTCTAACAGCATAAAAATGAATTCCAACAGCTACCTGTACATCAACGCTTGCAGTTGACTGGTTTAGCAAAAAAGATATTAATTCAGGAACACCATTAACAACATGAAATGGATAAGGTTCTTTAATAATAATAATAATATCCATCCGAATGTGTGAGGGTAGTTGATTCCATAAAATGGGTGCTGCAATTGAAAATGCCCTGTGGCCGTAGGTTTTGGTTGTTTTTTTATTTTGCTATTGAAGTTCCAAAATGGTGCCTTTTTCTAAAGCCACTCGATTTTCTCAGAAATTCTAACAGCATAAAAATTAATCCCTCTGGTGAATTTAAAAATAAACAGCAGCAATTTGAAAACAATTCTCTGTCGTTCAGGATGCCAGTGTAGTTCGAATAAAATATGTGAAATGTTTGATCTGAGAGGGGTTTTGGTCAGTAGTCGTGCTGCAGCATTTTGGACAGAATGCATGCATTTTTTTCAATTTGGTAGGTAGGAAGACCATAGAGTAGACTGTTTCCGTAGTCAAGATGTGCAGTTATAAAGCCATGGACAATCCTCTCCATTTGACTTTTATCAAGGATATGGGATAGTTTGGAATTTTTTAAAAGACCATAGAAAGCGGCTTTGCATTTTTTACTGATTATTCCAAGGTTTTTAACCTCATCTTTTACCGTGACTGTACTGTTTCCGATTTCTAATAGTTCTAGTTTTTGCTGCATCCTTAGAAATACGAGAAGTAAAGTGAACTACTTCTGTTTTGCCATCATTGAAAACAAGTGAACTGGCATTAAGCCATTGACTCAACTGAATAATATATTTCTGGATAGATGGTATAACATATGATGACCTGTCGCAAACAATATAAATTTGTGAGTCAACTGCAAAGAGCATTAGGTTAAACCGTACTTAGAGACAATGTCCTCAATTGGTGACGTGTAAAGAGTGAGCAGGATGGGACCGAGTACATAGCCTTGTGGTGCACCACAAGCTAGTGGTATTGACGGTGATTTGTGAGTGCCTTTGTGCTTTAGGTAAAGGACATGAGTTAACACCGATTAAAATTTAAAACACTGTAATGTGTCACCAACATTTGTCGTGAACAGTCCGCTTTGATCCGAGCTAAATCAATATTTGTCCAATTAAAATGAAATATTACGCCGGCTTCAGAACAAAAAAGACATATTTCAGAACAATACGTACTTTAAGGTGAACGGGATTCACCTTGAACTAAAGGATATTTTATCATAGCTAATTTGGGATTAAATGGGCTCTGATTTAATAACTTGTCCTAAATATGTCCCAAAAGGGATTAAGCTACGGGTCTGGTATGGCGGCGCACACCAGAAAATGTGTTCCTATTCCGTGTGCATTGGCTATATATGCACTGCAAATCATCATGCACTTTATAATTATAATTAGACATATTTGGAATTAATGACCTGCCCCAAATATGCCCCATGGGCTTTCAAGCTACATCTACTGTACGCGTCTGATATCGGCGGCACACGTGCTATGATTGTATTTAAAGTTTAAAAGTTAAAACTAAAAATATACCAGAACTTTGTCATATCGAACACGACGCTGTTCAAAGGAAAAGGAGCAACATATGTTCAGTTGCATTACTCTCTACTAAGGTAACTGAGCTATCTTTAAAATTAGCTCACATGTAAATAATGACTTTTGCAATATGAAATGTTCTGCACATATGGTATGTGTAGAAAGCTGCAATGTTGGACACCCGTGCTACTTACCAAGCTTACAAGCGCTTGCAACGTGTTGTTTGTGGCGCATTCTCCTAGTTAAGGACATCATCCAGTCAAGTAAAGTAGATCAATTTTGGCTGCATCACCAGTTTTTTCAAACATTGCCTAACTTAGCTCCCAAGTTAAGACGTAATTAGATCGTATCATTATAAAAACATATAAATTGACGGTAAACAGGGACAGAGCTTAATGCAAGATCTGTATGGGTTGGTGAACAAAATAATAAAAAGGGAATTTTTGATCTAATTAAAAAATTTTTTTGCATTAATATCTGGATATGAATGTTAGACATAAAAAGAAACAGAAAAGAAAAGCTATTTTGACAAATTTATGCTATTATAACCTACCGAGCCACCTTTATGTTGCCCCTTGCTAAATCTACGTCATTGAAAATTTTAACGTTTATAATATTCTGGGAGAAACATCAACGCCAGCAGTTGACCTGGTATGGAAAATTCGATACGTTCCATCCTCACAAGATCGGGCGTCCTGCCAATATTAAATCTAACAAAAACTACATTAATGCGGGCAGGCCAGTAATGCCATCAGTGTTAACGTTATTTCTTGGATAAAAGCTAATTTTGCCTTACATTATTGTTTTGCCTTTAGTCATATTCCTACCAGTATAAACTCTCATGAAAATTTGAAATTCAAATGGGAACCAAACGAGAAAGCTCTAAGTACCGGCGAGTGCAATGCAACAACAAGATAAACTGTCAAATATTTTACGAGTATTTTTATTGGTTGCTTTTCTTAGGTTTTAGAGAAATCCTTTCTTTCACAATAGTATATATTTAATATAACCCTTGTAATATTCTCTGAGACACTATTCTAGCCCAAGATATTCACTTCTGATATTTTTCTTTCTCTTTTATAGCTCCCAAAAACAGCACAACTAGAAAATAGAGTCAAAATCTAGCAGTTGACCATCCCAGTCCCCCATATATTAAAGTACAATTGTCATTGTTAACTGTTTGATACCAAGCACAGAGTAGTAAAATGTATATTCTTTTACCCTGTGTCCACCACTTCCAAATCTCTGGATCCGATTGTTTTAGTTTTGTGTTAGTTATGAAATTCAACCAGACATTATATTACCCATTTCATCAACATGGAGGTAAGGGGTCATTTATCTATCTACATGTATCTACCTGACTCTTTGCCAGCCATTGTTTTGCTCTTTGTCAATCTTTGCTCCATTGTATGGGGTGTAGGGTGACCATTTAATGCGATGTTGTTACCATCCCCAATCTTGTTTCTCCGTATCATATCAAGTTTAGCCATTTTAAAAATGGTAATATTAGTCATATGGCCTTATTTCATATTTCATTTTGAGTCAAAACTGAGCTTCTTTGTGCTTGTGAACATTTGACTGCATATATTATTCTTATATGGCAATTATCATGAAGACGCATTAAGAAAAACTAATTTGAATTTTTTTCAACCTCACATAATCCTATTTGAAATCATACTATTTTTCTAAAAGACTATAATAAGTTTTCCATTTAAAATAATTGAAATAATTGTTTATAGAAGTATGCAGGCATTGGCACTCATAGGTGTTTTGGCTTTCTGGCTGTTTACAATGACAAGTGCACATCACGGTGAGGGGCAGGTGAACAACGTTATGTTTGGAGACGCACCAGAGGCACCACCCATGAAAAAAGGAGATTACGAAGCCATTCGAAAAAAGTTGCAAGATGCTGGTGTATTGAAAGTGTCAGAAGAACAAGGATTAGGCAAGTAGAACGGTTTTTGTTTAACTGCACCAAATGAGTTTGTTCGTATGAGACGTTTTCACACAACATAGTGTAAGAAATCTTTTAATACTCCTCACATTGCTCATGCTCTATTTGTTAAGTAACACCGATTTTTCTGGTAATGTATGTAGGAAAGGCAACTTAAAGATTTGTTCATTTGATTGTTGATGTATTTAACACTTGGCAATTTTAAAAAAGAAATCTTACATGACAAGATTATTTGATCAGTTACTTTGAAGTATAGAGCATTATAAGTGACCAAAAAAGAGGCCTTTAACTCATCGAGGAATAATATAATGTAAAAATAAATTCATGGCATAATTATTTGATTCATACCATGACATGAATGATGATACCCAGATGTACACATCTTGTAACATTCATGATCCAGCATTGTCTGTGAACACCATTGTTGATTGCATATCAGACCTCAGAGGTTGGCTCATTTCAAACAAATTGAAGATAAATGATGGAAAAACAGACTTTTTAGTCATTACTCGACCCCACAACAAGGGCCTTGCTGATAACTTGCAACTTAAAATTGGAGCTAGTATGGCACTATCCTCCCTTCATGTAAAAAAATAGGAGTATACTTTGATTCTTCACTTTCAATGGACAAACAGATCTCTTACATCACAAGGTCTTGTTTATTCAACATTCGGAATATTGGCACCATAAGGAAATATCTGAATCAATCATCTGCTGCTACTGTTATACACTCATTGGTAACTTCCAGGTTGGACTATTGCAATTCTGTATTATATGGATGATAAGATCAAAAGATTACAACGCATCCAGAATATCTCAGCACGGCTTTAATGCTACAGCCTAGGGATTGCCATATCACTCCAATTTTAAAGCAGCTGCACTGGTTACCAGTTAGGGCCAGAATTTTATTTAAGGTTTTAGCTTTTACACATGCTGCTTTTTATAAGCTAGCTCCACCATATATTACTGATCTAGTAAAACATAATAGCCCTCAAAGATCCCTGAGGTCTGGTGACAAACTGAAAGTTCCCAAATCAAAGTTAAAAGCATATGGTGACATATCATTTTGTGTAGCTGCACCAGTAGAGTGGAATAAGTTGCCAATTTTTATTAGACAAAAAGAATCACAAGAATGTTTTAAAAAAGGAATTGAAAACTCACATTTTTAAGACATTTTATTCATGAATTTTTAATTTTACATTAAAGAACCTTGTATTTTTTACTTTTATTACTGCTTATTACAATTTAGTCTAGTTCTGATTTATATAATATATATCTTAACTATTTTTATTTATAAACTTCTTTGTATTTTATGTTGTACAGTCTATTGAACATTTTATGGATTTTAGACTTGAAATAAAAATATTAATTATTATTATTATTATTATTATTATTATTATGAAGAAGAAATCTTACTTGATAAAGATTATTTGATCAGTTACTATGCACTTTGAAGTATATAGCAATATAAGTGACCAAAAGAAGGAATATAATTCACCAAGGAATAATATAATGTTGGTTTGAACGTATCCAAACTAAATCGCAAAGGGATATTTTAATGGATGATTCACTCTTATTCATATTTCCCTCAGTGCCCCTCATTGAGTACATGGACTTATCTGGGATACCAGGACAATACATCGCTCGACTTTTGCCTGATGCAACGCACGTTCGAAGTGGGTAAACTTTGCTCCTATATTTATATATCTGAATGAATATCGAGAAAATTTGTTTTAATTTTACTGGATCGCAGGGCAACGTGATAGGGCATTAAGGTCGTCTAGCGTATGTGGTTGTGGTGGTCAATTAAAACCAAACGCCGTTGACGCTGAGACGCTGCAAGCAAGCACCAGTAAAAAAAGCAATGAAGCTGACGCATGTGTTCTTTTTGTTGCGTAAACAATGTTCAGTAAAATAAAAGTGTTCATTTTGTGACCTATTACCTGTATTTGGCACTTTCATTTCGAATCTTATCAGAGGGTCTCTTGGTAGTTTGGTAGTCTGTCTGTTAGCAACTTAACTCACAAATGAAAGGACGAATTTTTATTAAATAATCAGGATAGGTAAAAAATGGACTAGCTTTAAAGTGACAACATTTTGGTGATGGTCTTTCTATTAACTAATGGTTGATTATTAGTTTATCATTTGTTCTGGTGAAGGTCTGAGTTCTCTGTTTGCCTTTGTATTTTTTCTAATATGGACTTAGGATCCGATCCATCTCTGCTCTATTGTAGCCTTAAATGGATTTATTATTTTAATCATTTACAAGAAACATAGTTTTATTGATCTAGTCCGTAGAATCATCAAAGAACCTGAACGAAGACAACAAGTGAAGTTTAATAGAGACAAGGATTTTCCTCATTCTGCGAAACATAAGTAAAAGGTTGGGTGCATTTTTGATTTGAGTGTGTTTTTCATCCGTTTCTACACATTCCTAAAAAATAGTTTTATAAATAAAAATATTTTATCATCGTCTTCGCTATGAACTACCGATCAAATAACACTTTGGGCTAAAAAGCAAAGTTCTTAAGGAGAAAATAATTAAAATACGTATTGGTCATCAATTAATAATTCTATATTTGTTTTTACTAACACCAAGGATGTACATTAACCTTTTTGAAATATTTGACTGTATTTATGAGTTTTTAAAACAATGTTTTAAGCAACCTCGACGATTTGCGGCAACTCACCGATGCCATTGGTGAAATTGAAGAGGACATCGAGTTGTTAGTAGCCACGAAATACTGCAAAGAGTACAATAATGGCAATGGAAGTTATAATTGGGTATGTTAATGTTGATTTCCGATCAGAAAGGTCGACCTTATATAACTTAATGGTTTCATATAATTCAATTATAATAACTTTGTAGAATGTTGATTATTCTGATTTCTAAAAGCAGTTCAGTTTTGACTATTGCTAACACTTGTAGGATCAAAGTCCTATACTCTTTGTCATAAACCTGAGCAATATATGAAGTAAAAGGTGCATTTAATTTACTGTTGACAAGTCCATTTACTTTCTAGCAAGACTGTACAAGAATTGCACATATCTGGAATTTTTATGGAAGAATTCGTTGCAGCCGTGGCAATATGTAAAGCTAGTTTCATATTTTGTATAACCTTTACCTGCAGGGGTTGGATACTCTTGATGGTAATTCATACGATGCCAAATATGACATCTGGGGTGATGGAAAGGGAATAGATGTATATGTGGCAGACACAGGCATCAATCCAAACCACGAAGATCTCAGAGGGAGAGTTACTATTGGTGAGTTGCTTTCTGATTGTCTTCATGCAGCGTTGCAGCAAAAACAAAACCTGGTTTGCTAAAGGGGATCAAAGGGGAGCACGTTTTTACTGCAATATGATAGCTGCTCATAAAATATAGTTAAATACAACTGCCATTATTCATCTCAAATATCTGTTTTTTATTGTACAGGAGAGTTATATTTGGGACTATTTTGTACCATTGGTCAGTTTTCAACTGAAATAAGACGCTTTCATGGGCGTCCGCATAAAATTTTCCAGGGGGTCAAAGTCATTGAAGGAGGAGATAATGATTGGATGGGTACCCACAATTAACGCGCCCGCCAAAAGTAAAGGGGGGGGGGGAGTCAAGTGACCCCATTTACACACTCCTGTGGACGCCCATGAACGCTTCCCAGCAGGCATAGTTGCTTTGGATCAACGTTGAAAACAGGTTGATACGTTGAATTGCCGTTGATCTACCTAAATTCAACTTAAAAACAACGTTGATCCAGTCACGTCCAAACACCGTCATAATGTGACGTTGACTCAACGTTGTAATTTGGTCATTGACACAACCTTACAGACATGGACTGTAATGTAAAATATTAATTGTTGAAAACGTGATACTTTGTTTATCAGTACTGTAACTAACTTTATCAAAATAATAAAAAAAGTGTTTAAAGTAAAAGTGACAGTTGTTTTGTGTCTTGAGTGAATAGTGAATTTTCTTAACTTGTTATTCAGAAATACATTCCAATAAACTGAATTCCTTGCAAGGTCAGCTAACACTAGGATGAATACTTTGCTGTAAATGGAATGTAGTTAATAAACTGGACAATAGAAGTGTCACCCCCTAACTCAGAGTAATAAAAGTAGGCAGATCTTGGGTACTTATAATACCTGGTCTACTTATCATGTGACTAATGAGTATAAAACCGCTATACCATGGAATAGTATTGTTGGTCTTGCACATGTACAGCAAATGTTATTCCTGTCTTCCTCCAATATGGCAAGATACAGGCAATTATCTAACGGTTATAGGTGCAAGTTATTAACCTGAAGAGGCGGAATATAAGCAATGTCAGAATATCGATACTATTGAATTGTTCAGTCAGAATCATGCAAAGGATCTGGTCTCGGTATAGAAACACTGGATCAAAAGACAAATTGCCTCTGATGGGTCGTCTAAGAAAAACTACTGGCCGAAAAGACCGCCGACTGATTTTGATGTCCAGGTTGTCAAAGTTCGACACTGCTTGTCAGTTGACAACACAGTGGAACAATTTCACACATAAGAATGTGTCTGTGAAAATTGCTAGGCGTCGGTTACATGCTCATAGAGTGTACAGCAGTAACGACTGAAACCTCTTATATCGTTACAAAACAGGCAGCTTAGAGTGAAATAGGGTCAACAGGATCTGGAACTGGACAGTCCATGACAATTGGTCCTATATATTTTTTTTCTGATGAGTGTCGCTTTGGTCTGACCTCTGATGACAGACGGGTATGATGCTGGCGAACTGCTGGTAAAGCATTTCAACCACATGCACTGAATTTTCGAACCCGGAGCAGCATATTCATCATGGTGTGGGGCTGCATCAGCATCCATGGCGTGGGCGAATTGATAGTGGTTGATGGAAATGTATCGATGTTTTTGAGTCAGGCTTGTTACCATCTATTACTAACATGTTTGGTGACAGGAATTATCCATTTGTTCACCAGGATGACAATGCAGAGAAACTCTGTTATATTCAGTGTTTCATGCTTGGGCCAACAAAAGCCCTGGACGCATCAGACGATTATATGAATCCTTGCTTTGTAGACTAGCACCTATTATTAGGTCACGTGGCTATGCCACTAAGTACTAATTTTGGACTTGAAACTGCATAATTTGGTAGAATGTATATTTTGTTCTCATTTTGTGATTTTGTGTGAAATTTGATGTTAATAAAATGATACCAGGAGCATATCATTCCACAGTCATTTATCTCCCCCATAGTATTGGTTCAGTAGGGGTGACACTTCTTTTGTCCAGTGTGTGTATATACCCTACATATATGTATTTAGCCATCAAACATGTCCTACTGCTAAACATATCCAGGCTAAAAGGGTGTACCATGCTTGGGAGAAAACATACTTAGGAGCTAAATGCGTTGAAAAAATCAGACAAAGCAGGCACTTGGATGTTTTTACAGTGTACGTTATAATTGTGTACTTGTGTTTTGTACCAAAAATAAAAAAAAAAAAAAAACATTTCAGATCATTTTAATGTCTTTTCATGTAAGAATGTCTAACAACTGGGGTTGATACAATGTTGTTATCTGGCGTTGAAACAACGTTGTTATCTGAGGCTGAGTCAACTTTCAAATCCAATGTTAATCCAACGTATTATCAACGTTATGGTTCAACGTTGTTTCAACGTTAAAACAACATAATTTGCCCCCTGGGTTTGATGCTTCTTAGTAGTAAAATTATTTTAAAGAAGTTCTACAATGATCATTTTTAGGTTTAACACATTGAATGGTTGATTAATTTTATCTATTCTTCTATTTCTCCAGGCTGGCCGACATCTACAAGTGTGGATAACCATGGTCATGGTACCCAAGTGGCCAGTATCATCGGGGGAACCAACTGTGGTGTGGCAAAGCGTGCTAACATCATTTCCCTGAAGGTTTGTTCAAATGATAGATGCGATGTTTCCGATATATTGGAAGGTTGTCTGTGGGCAAAACAAAGAGTGCAAAGCACTGGGCGACTCTCCGTTATTAACTTCAGTTTTGGTGGGACTTTCTCCAGGTCTATGAACGACGCAGTCGATGATCTACTCGCAGCTGGAATCCCCGCAATTGCTGCAGCTGGTAGTTCCAATGAAGACGCTTGCTATGTCTCTCCAGCCAGCACGCCCAATACCCTCACTGTCGGAGCGTTTAATGAGGAGTTTAAAAAGAATTATTTCAGCAACTATGGTCCCTGCGTAGATATTTACGCCCCGGGTGCGAATATCAAAGTTGCTGACTTCTCTGGAAACAATACATATACTTTAATGGATGGCACCTCCATTGCAGCTTCGTTTGTGACCGGCGCCGCGGCTGCCTTGTTGCAAGTCCTCAGAGATAAGGGGACTATCTGCTCACCCTCTGCCCAGGTCGTCAACTACACCAATGAGTACATCATTGAGAACGCATTGCTTGGACGACTTACGGGTGTAGGTGAAGCCAATTTGGCTTTGTCTACTCTATGCTTGGATTATTGAGTCCTTTCCACTTCTTTGAAAATAACGTACTAATGTACTAGATCTACTCCAGTTGGCTTTTTATGTTCTCAAAGCAGATTTCTTTGAATAAATCTATCACTGCAGAGCAAATATTTCTTTCTTTTTATATTATTTTTTATAATACCTTTTTAAAGGCTTTTTAAAATCCAAATCATTCTTTCATCGAATCCCACAAAAAAGTTTTATTTGGAGGAGTGGGGGCTGAGTACTTTGACTGCTAAGTCTACGAGAAGCCTCTTAATATCCAATGCAAGGGCAGGGTTATTGTCACCTTTATATTGCTTTTTATTGTGCTTTAGGAGTTGGGGAATCCAGCACATCTGATGCAACGTGCATTTGCATATGTGATAGCTTTTAGGTTTAGGGAAACTCTCATTTGTTTGGACATTATATTAAATTCATCTCAGTGTCTCCTTGGTAGGGACACATATAATTTTCTTTCTTTTTGATCAATTAGTTCCAGTTTTGTTTTCATACGTCAAAGGATTTAAAACAATCACCAAACTCTGAGCCATATAAATATGTGTCACAGGCCCAGTCCTAATCTAACCATATGCCTAAGAGGCCCAGACCCCATCCTAATTAGGGCCTGGCTGTGCCCAGTCTTAATGGTGTATTTGCATTGTTAACAGCATAATAGGCAAGTTAATTGACCAAGTGAATTAGTCAAGCTGCCAATTTGTTGGTATGTCATGTGTAATTGCGCGTGTTACCTTGTTTATTTTGGGGCGGATAGGTTCGTAATTTAGACTCGAATTTGGAGCAATTGGCTTTTTTAATTGCCGCCCGTTACAAAGGACAGTTTTTGTTTAGATCATGCCCTATACATACGTATGAATAAGCTTGGACTTGTTTCATTTTTGCCCGTATCGGTATGACCCGCTTGAATACTGAAGAAGGGGAGGGGTGGTGAAAGGTAAAACCACGCCAAACCATACTATATCCGGTAACACTTCCACCACATATATTATATGAAAGACACATCATTGCCAAAAGAGCATTTTTGGTGAAATGCGAGTATTCTCTCGGTATGTACATCAAATAATTAACTACCAGCCTCTCGCGATATATGCCTCGAGCACCTCGTTGTGGCATATAGCACTCACATGTGAAAGAAGTGCTAAGGTATATGTGTTTGTGATATAAAACGAAATGAATTCATGATCCATACATGACGATTATTCATGATAATTCATACACAAGCTGTTTGTTTTGCTGATCCTCAGTTCTACCTGAACCTGTAGTTTTAGTTACATTCTGAATTAATGACCTGCCCCAAATATGTCCCAAAGGCGGCTTAGCTACGGGTTTGGTGTGGGAATAAAATGTATTTCCAGGAAATGTATTCATATTCCGTGAACACTGGCTATATGCACTAGCAATCACCATGGCCTTTATAATCAATTCGACTGATTTGGAATTGATGGCCTGCCCTAAATAAGCTCCATAGGCTGCCAAGCTACGGGTCTGATAATGGCGATTAACGTGATGTGAACATATATCATATTTAACATTACCAGAACGTTGTCACGGTACGGTACTGTTCAAAGGAAAAGGAGCATCATTTGGTAAGTGGCATTAGTCTTCACAAAGGCTATTGGTGTGCCAGGAGCTATAGTCCAAGAAATAGAAGTCCAGGGATCCCTTTATGATAAGTACAAGTTAAGATTATGGAAACGCCTTTTTGGTACTCACTTTCCAGATATGTTCAGGTGGTCAGAAATTCTAACAAGATGATTATGAACCCCTGCAGTAATCAACGCCAAATGTTTGCCCGGTATACCATAAAAAGCGTCCAATACTTGACCCATTTAATAAAAACAATATCAATGTGGGCACGTGTGAAAATTCATTTAGTGTTTAGAATAGATGTATGTATAGATAACACGTTACATTATGGTTTTGCCTCTAACCAATATTTTGCAGAAATTGACTAACCCCCGCCCCCCTTTACATTGCCCCAAGATAATTCAGTATCTGTATACTACGTACGCCTGCTTCAAAACAAGAAAAATATTATTCAGGACAACACGAACTTTAAAGTGGACGGGATTCGTCGTGAACTAAAAGATGTGATAAACCAATCTTTGAATGAATGTTATATAAGTGATACAAAGCTTACACGTTAGAAAGGCGGAGTTAATAAGAGTTGAGTGATTAAAAAAAGATGAATATCTAAGTGGGAACATGATCCGGAGGCTATCGGGTTTATCTATCATAGTTGATCTTAATAGATGTGTTGTCATTGTAATTTATTTATTTTTATCAGGTGAATAACACGCTTAAACTACAGCTTGCTTCAGAAACTACTTGCTTCAGATAATTTGGCGCAATGTATTCTTGGTGTTTCCATAGAGATTGAAATACATTGAATATATGGAGAGTATGCTGTATAAGTCAAAGTGCTTTTAGTAGACCTGCAGTATTTACAGTAGTATATCGATATATACAGTGACATTTAAAATAACATAGAATGCATTTTCCTATATAATAAAATTATGTGAAACATAACAGAAAGCTACGCGAACATGTAATGAATAAGTATAAAATATGCAATGTTCGTAAAATAATACACACAATGGACAATAGAAGTGTCACCCCTACTGATCGAATACTTGGGGGGGGGGGGTGAATGACTGTGGAATGATATGCTCCTGGTATCATTTTAGTAACATCAAATTTAACAAAAAAGTGTAGACTAGGCATTATAACTACTCAAGTTCTGCCCACTTTGATTATTGATAACTTGATTATTATTATTTGATTACTCTGATTCAGGGGGTGACATTTCTATTGTCCATTGTGTGTAGTTTACAGGAACAGGGAGTGTATATGCATCGAGGGTGTAACTTACCCAAGTTTTCACCCAGATAAGATAAAATCACGCCTCCTTCCCACTAGGTCGGAGATAATACAAGTGCACGCAAGTTATTGGAAGTCCCTTCTTATTTTATGACTAAGCTGTATTGTTCGCCCTGATTGTGACCTACTTCCACCCTACTGTGTGCCACATCTTAAATTGCTTGCGATCGATGGATCTTTGGTCAACTTTTTTTTGGAAATGTTTATATGCAATTTTCTTAAATGCTTAAACATGATACATGTTGGGTTTACAGCCTAATATGCTAGACATACGAGGTTAGCCTGCTTTATGATTTTAGGCCCTACTGGTCTTAATGGATCTGCTCAAACTGAACTCCCCTCTTGAGGAGCACAAAATCAATGTATTCGTTTGGCTACAATTAATTACCATCACTACCATGGCCGTGCAGCAGGTGGATCCAGAATTTTTTATAAAGGCGAATTCGCATATGCCCCCCCCCCCGCCCTGGAGGGCCCCGAAATTTTTTGTGTTTTAGAAGGCGAATGGTGCCATTTGGTATGGTTTAGTTTAATTTCAAGAGTAGACCATTGGTGTGATTTTTTTCAGAAATTGAAGGAGGGATGCAGGACCTTCCTGACACCCCTCCTAAATCCACCAAGCAGTCTTGACTACAAATTAATCTGTGGCAAGCGAGTATGTTTAATGATAATGTAGCTGGAAAATAAAACAATTTGCGTCACTGTTGCAGGATTTTTAGAAAGAAGGTCACTACATTCATTTAATTTATGTTAGGCCCCCTTGTCCATATTTTCAGTAAATATCAGTGATAATATCTAAGGTGCTCTACTGGTGGAAATATAAGGCTATTGATAGGATGGGTATCTGTGGCAGTCATGAAGTGACCTTAAATTACTTCGGAAGTTTGTAACCATAACAACAGAATTATGATATAACTCTGCCGATATAAAGATTATGTATCCATCTTTCAATTGTGGTATTGGTGGAAGTAATGCATTGATCACTTCTTGCACATTTGCACAGCAAACTTCGTGGAAAAATACACTACTTTCACAGTTAAAAAACTGAGACGGGAGCCCACGCGGGGCAGTGAAATGTGCATGTGGCTGTGTCTTTATAAAAAGGCAACGGAAAGCTTTAATATTTTACAGTAATAATAAGGTCACAAAGATGATTTAAGTGTGAGCAAAATGGGTGTATTCTGTGTGAACACAACCTTGCCACTATTTGACCGATTCGTCTGATGGTAGGAAAATCTTGCTCTTAAAGGCCAGTACATTGAAAATATCCTTGACAGAGCTGAAAGTAAAAAGTTGTTTCCATAAACTATAATGGCATATTATCCATATTTCCTACCAGTAGGTGCCTTATACCCTCATCATGCAGAAAACACACTGTGAGCGAGGCTTGCAGACAAATTTAACTTATAGCAGGAAAAACACTGAAAAATATGGATCAATTATACACAGATGTGTTAAAACGTTCAATATACGCCGTTCTCAATTATGTTGAAAATCTAACAAAATGGTCTCCAATAACCTCAGCATGTAATCAGTCATCTCATGAAAATTTGAGATGCAAATGGGAATCAAACGATAAAGCGCTGCGTATCAGTTAGTGCAATGTGAAACGAATAAAATCTATCGAATTTTACAGGTATTTTACTGGTCGTTTTTTAGGTTCTGTAGAGGTCCTGTCTTGTACAATAGTGCGTAATATTGTCTAAGACACTATTCTCTCCCAAGATATTCACTTCTGATATCCCTCCTTCATCTTTTTGTCTCCTAAAAACAGTACAACGAGAAACTCGAGTCAAAACCGAGCAGTTTACAATCCTTGTGTTTCATATCTTAACTTGTTAACTGTTTGATACCGAGCACAGAGGAGTAAAGTGTATATTCTTCTGCCCTGTGAACAAGGCTTAGGCAAGTGGAATGGTTGATTAATTGCACAAAATGTAGAGGCTTTGAGTTTCAATGCGAGGCGTTTTCCCATGAAATAGTGGAAGAAGTTTTATAATAAACATCCCACGTTGCTCATGCTCTGTTTGTTAAATTACATTGATTTTCTGTCGATGCATGAACGAAAGACAGCTAATGAATGGGCAAATTTATAGATTTGATCATTTGATTGGTGACGTGGTTTTTAAAACACTTGACAATTAAAATGCTTAAGAATATAAAATACGTTTTATCAAGCGTAGTGA